GGCTCTGACCTCCTCTCTGTGGGCCGTCCCGTCATCGTTAGGCCAATGACGGTTGTGGCTGTTGGAGTTGTGGGGGGCCACGCAGTCAAACGTGAACAGGCAGTACAGGGCAGGGCTGGGCACGGACTTCCTTTTTAACACCCCTATTAGAAAACAACCTGTTGGCTGTGACAGATATTTATTTCAACATGCCAAAATCAGACATCTTACAGAGTAGAAAAACTTCCTGACATGTTAGAGGGTCAATTTCTGCTGCGTTTACGCATAGAGAATTTGACATGTTAACACGACCAATGTTATGCGTTCAAATGGCCTTCTACACATTCCTATTTTCTTGTCAAGAAACACATACCACTCCACACTGCCACAATGCCACATTGAGTTTCCAGCAAGACAGGTGCAAAGAAGCATGCAGTAAAACATGAAGGTTAAGTTGGTCCATTCAATAACTGCTTCAGGTAACTGGACAGACAGGTTAAATATCTGCTGATATAGAACACGATGAACATTCTGTCACGGAACAGCTGCTATGGGTGCCATGAACACTATCAGAGACAAATGTCTCTTAGGTCACCATCCAATTTTTAAGTTCTGATATTTGTATGTATCACACCCTTGGAGAATAGCTGGGTCTGCTGGTTGGAAGTGTTTTGGTTTAAACGACGTTTTGCGAGTTTCTCGAGCCACTGCTGTTGCAGCTGGTGGTAACACGAGCAGCTTACTTCATCACCTCGGCAGAAAACACGTGTTGGAATACCAAGAGTGTGATGACGGCCGTCGGATTCGAGGCCGTCAGCCAGTAACGTTAGCGCGAGTGAAACAGTGAAGCTGAAGGGTCAGGCATCGCTTGAAGAGGCATTTGCTCGAGGCACTGCATATGACAAGAAAAGCAAGCGGTGGAGCGACATTACGAACGCAATAATGATCCACCTATGCAAGGACATGGTCCCGCTACAGACAGTCGAGAAAGGCTGGTTCAGAGCAATGATTAAAACACTGGATTCAAGGTTCGTCTTACCGGGGCGACAGTAGCCTACTTCAGCCAAACTGCTATCCCAACATTATAGGAACAAACGACCACACCCTATAGTAATCAAAGCCTTTATACATGATGACATTAAAATGTTTTTATATTCTATGTGCTCCTGACAGTGGAGTAAGCCACTATAAACCTATATAAAAACACAGTCAAGGAAAAAAAGAAATACCGTGATATACCGTGAAACCGCCAGAATCTTAAAAAATACCATGATACACATTTTTGGTCATACCGCCCAGCACTAGTGGTTGGTGTTTTTTTGATATGCTCATATGCTACGATCAAATAAATTTAATAAAATATTTTGCAACTATACAAGTGTTTGTCATGTTTGCTGGGAAAAACAAATCTGTTGAAAAAAGGGCATGCCAATTTACATGCATCCAAGTGAACCAACATGTGAAACAATATTTCACAGCTCAAACTATTTCAAGAGTGGACAAAGGAAAAAAAAAACATAGCTGTTTGTCCTTGATTGCTCTTTTAATGAGTTTAAGAAAAATGTTGTAAATCTCTTTCAGGCTACTCCTCTTCCGTCTTCAGCGATGACTAGATGTCTGCAGCAGCAATCACTGCTGATCATCAGCTGTGTAACTGTGCTGTAATTGTGTTTAACGACTAAATAAATGCTAAAGGAACAAACATACCCCCCTGCCCTCGCATTATCCATCTGTAAGTCTGTGTTGTGCGCATGTGTGTGTCTGCTGTTGATGATGATGTGACTTTGATATCATGTGATGATGATCATTTTATACAACTGAATAAATACTGTATTTACAGATGTTTATGAGCTGCTAGTAGTTCTACCAACGATACATTTCCATTCTAAACTCATCAGATGGTTCAAATTGTCTGTTATTTTACCAAAAACACCTCAATGTTTTGGAAATAAAAGACGTTATAATCTAAACCTCAATTTAGATTAGTATTGTTTGATGAGGGAGTAAGTGATCGACTGGACCGTAGAGCTTGTAGCTGGTGTGCAAACTAAACACAAGCATCAAAGAGACATTTTACCATTTATTGAGTGAAGGGAATGAATGGAGGATGAATGGATAATTTTTCTGCACTGTGAACAAACGTAAATCAATATATTGACATGCATGCCACAACTAAGAATAAAAAACAACAGACACATGATTTGGCTTACATATATTTATTTATTATTTATTTATTTATTTTTCAGGGACAATGCACACTCATCAACAGTTACACTGTAAGTGAGCCAGAGTTAGCCAGAGAGGCTAATTTCCATCTGCTGTCCCTGGCCAGATGTTTCAAGGCAGCCTAAAATAACAAAATCTCAAATTGAAACGGAGTTAAAATTCATAGAGAAAAAGACAGCAACGTATAGACAAAACCGAAACACAGCAAAAGAAAAGTGTACGATATTAAAGCAGAGCAGACACAACAGGTTTCAGCATGCGTCACGCAGAACAGACCCACCTACAGGACAAGCACATATAACACTGAAGCACTTAACATACACATCAAAAAAATGGAAAATAGCAACACCGATCAAGACAAACGCACATATAGATGAAACAAGCAGGCAGGACAGACAGTACATCAATGCTTGCACACCTGATTGGCAACAAGCCATTACTTGAAGTTATGCTTGAATGTTTGGTACGTGTTTTGTGTGCGTATGTGTGGTGGCAGAGCATTCCACGAGTGAGCTGCCTTCACAGAGAATGTAGACGAGCTTGACCTATGTGGAATGACTCAATCACCTCTTGAAGCAGATCTAGTGAGTCTGCTGCTTTGAGTGCTTTGTTTAATAAAATCACTAAGTGGAGGTGGGGCCATACCATGTAAAATTTTAAAAACCAGACACACATCAGTGAATTTAATGATGTTCTCCCAACTCAGGATATGGTGTTTGGTGAGAATATTGCAGTGATGGTGACTTTTGGGTTTTTTATCAAGTGTTTTTAGAGCTTGTTTATGGAGAACATGAATGGATTTTAATGTTGTGCTGCTGGCTTGTGCCCAGCTGGTTAAGCAGTAGGTCAGATGGGGGATAATCATTGCATTAAAATACAATTTTGCAGCTTGCATGGTTAGACAGTGTCTTATATATCTAAAATTCATGAGATTAAATTTTAAGACATTTGTCACATGTTTTACCTGTTTTTTAAAAGAGAGATTAGAATCAATAAAAATTCCTAAATATTTAAAATCTGACACTACCTGTAGCCTCTCACCAGCAACATAAACATCTGGCTCCAGTGACACTTTGCAAGCCCTCTTTGCGAAGAACATACAAACAGTCTTGTTAACATTCAGGTGAAGGCAGGAATCTGCAAGCCATTTAGTTACATTTGTCATTGTGGACGTGAGTTTAAGTGCAGCTTGTTCTTTGTTCTTTGCGTGCACATAAATCACTGTATCGTCAGCGTACATTTGAATATCACACCCATCGCAGATAGCCGGCAAATCATTAATGTATAAACTGAATAGTAAAGGTCCTAAAATAGAACCCTGAGGTACTCCCACGTTAGATCTTAGAGTAGATGATGTAACATCACCCACTCTGACACACTGGGTTCTTCCTTCAAGGTAGGATTTCAGCAAGACAAGAGACTCTTGGGAAAAGTTAAAATTTGACAGTTTGTTAATCAGGACATTGTGATTAACCGTATCAAAAGCCTTCTTCAGGTCAAGAAAAACCGCTGCTACTACACCCCCTTTATCCATTTTAGCTTCACATTCTCTAAGAGGAAGCAGTTGGCTGTTTCAGTCGAATGATTAGCCCTGTAACCAAACAGCATAGGATGCAGCTGATATGGAGAGCTGTTGAGATGTTTAATGAGTTGCTCTGCAACACATTTTTCAGCAATTTTGGAAACAGCAGGAGGATACTGATTAGCCGATAATTGGAGCCATCGGTTGAATCTCCTGACTTAAAAATGGGTGTTACTATGGCTGATTTCCATCCTTTTGGAAACACACATTGCCTGAGAGATTTGTCGACAATGTTTGTGATCGGGTGAGCGAGTGTGCCTTTATGTTTCTTTAGAAAAATATTGAACATCTTAACATCTTTGGCCCTAGAGTTCTTGAGTGAGCCTAGAACTCTGGTGACAGTAGATTCAGAGACTTCTTGAATAGCGAAGCATGGTTGACCTTCATTTACTGGTGTAGGATCAAATTGACCAATACTGGAGCTTCGAGTTAAAGCTTCCACTGAGTTGATAAAGTATCATTAATGCATCCACTTCTTATAGAAGGAATCCTTTAAGTTTCTTCATCAGGATTAGCAAACATAAGTAAATACTAGACAACCATATACAACCACTTCTAAATCTGAACAGTTTGCCTTATTTACCTGTTTTGACTTTATCACACAGGTAAGTAGCCTATATCACAAAGCCCCCAAGTCATTTAATTTAATTTTTTAATTTAATTTAATTTCCACAATTAACCTAAGCTTTGGAGTGTGGGAGGAGGCCGTAGAACCTGGAGAAACCCCACACTGACACGGGGAGAACATGGAAACTCCACACAGAAGGGCCGTCCAGCACGGGATTGAACCCGGGACCCCCTTGCTGCGAAGCGACCGTGTTAGTCAGTGTGATGTGTTTGTGCTTGTACTAGTGAGCCATAACTATTCCATGTTTGTCTTTAGATGGATATAGAATGTTTTAAGTTATTTTTAATGGGATAAACATGGTCTATAGGCCTTAATATGTTCTATAAATAAACATATTTTGCATTTCAAATTGAAAAATATTGGCAGCTGAAATATAAAAATAATACCACAGATCCCCTTTACAGCTTGCCTTTTATCTTGTTTAAGATGTGAACATGATAATCTTAGATCTTTCTTGGGTGTGGCAAAAATGATCACAGTGACAGAGATTCCTGTAGAGACTGATAGATGAGGTGGGGTTTTCTCTGCGGTCTGTTGCTATAAAAGCTGTCAGTGGAAACCTCTGTCGCACAGCTTGACAGAAGCTGGTCTGCGTCTATTGTAGGACACATGCCTGGAAGCCATTGCACAACGGTAGGAGCACTTGTAATTGTTTTTCAAAGTTAAGCAGGAAAGTCAAATGTTGCTCAACTTAAATGAATGTGTGCCTGCTTGATCGAATTAACTCATATTTAAAGATTATAGGTATAAAATGATGAAAGGTACAGTATTCCCTCATCTGAGAGCATTGATTTTGATGGATAGTTAATTAAAATTCAATGAACTCAAATCTTTGACCATAGTTAGAACCCATGGAAGAGTATTATATGCAGTAAATAAAGCAAAATCATGATCATAATTTACAATTAACATTTCTTTCTTTTTTCTTTCATTTTGAAATACTTCACAAATATATGTATTTTTTTATTACTTATAATAAGTAGTGATGAAGACTTAATGTGCTGCTGAGTGACAACTTTTCCGCTCTCCTCTCAGGATATTCAGAAGAATATCAACAGTTCCAATTCGGCTGCCTGCTCCTCTCCTGCTCCCATATTCACTGTAAGTCAGTGTTCACAGTTTAGATGCACAGCATAAGTTCCATGTTGTGTGTATTTTACATGCTTCAAACAGTCTTGGAATGAGATTCTCTAATTCATTTCTAACCAAAAAAATGGTGGTTGCAGGAGCTCCAGCCCCTGATGGCGAACCCTGACCTGCCGTCTGAGCATGACGACTCCCAGTTGGACAGAAAGGAGCCCGAGACTGAGCAGCCAGGGCCAAGAAATCTGCAAACGGCCAGGGCCCGCTTCCTCAAAGGAATCTCCTACTTCTCTGGAGACATGAAGGTGTTTGGAAAATGGATGGAAAGTAAGTCAACTCTAATTTTCTTTACTTGCTCTTATGACATTATACAAAAATTTCTGGACAGTGTAAACAACTTCACACTGATAACCATTGTACAACCACACGCTGGGGAATACAAGTTAAATCCCTACACCAGTCAGGATGCACAACGTTGCTGTAAAATGATTGGCATTCTGTGTTCATCAGCTGGGATACTCAACCTTGAGATCAGTTACGAAACTAGAATTGAGAGTTAATCAAGAACAAATTTAAATAACAAGTAACACGCAACCATGCAATGTGTTATTTTTTTATTTTTTATTTTAATTTATTTAAAAGGGATCATGTACAGTTTAAACATAAATGTCTCCATTCAATGCACTGTACCAGATTGTAGCTTCAGCTAATTTGCATCTGCAGTCCCTTGGCAGGTCAAACAAGGACAAGACAATAACACAGTAAAAGGAAAAGACATAATACAGAGATATACCATAAAAACATACAAGACACCCAATACAACGCTACACACAAATAGCACATCAAAAATGAATGTGTGTCAATAAAATCAAGTCAGAAAAGACCACAAGAATTGAGGTCAGTGTGTGCAGTTTTTAAAAGACTTTTTAAGTTGGCTTTAAAAGTGCTAATAGTGCTGCAGCTCCTCACACCTTCAGGCAGGGTGTTCCACTGGTGTGTTGCTTCTACAGAGAAGGCTGATTGACCAAAATTAGTGCGGTGAAATGGTATTGTACAGTCTCGTGTAGAGAATATTCTCGCTGATCTAATAGAAGTTGCTGAGCGAGTGTATACAAGGTCACGGAGTGGAGGAGGGGCCAAACCATTTAAAAGTCTATAGACCAGGCACAAATTTGAGAATATATATTATATCCACCTACAAACACCTATGTGTCACTGACAGGAACTTGAAACTGTACCTTTAAGGTAAGCCAGGCTATAGATAGTTTAGACTAACAATGTGCAACATGTTCCCTGTGAAGATAAGATACAGTGCTACTCTGTTTCAGTCGACAAACCTGTTGTTCATATAAGATATGGCTTCCGTGACCTTGAACAAGCATTTTGTGATGCAGATGTACCCGCTGTGAGCCTAAAACTAAAGCTTGCGCAACATTCAATGTAAGCCTATCAATCAGCTCTGGGCAAATGTCAACGCTGTCTGTTCTTTCTTTCTGTCCTCCAGAGCAGTTTTTCTTGCTGCAGTTGCTGGACTGGGTTTTGCGTGGAGCTGCTCAGGTGATGTTCGTCAACAACCCTCTAAGCGGCCTCATCATTTTTGCTGGCCTCATCCTGCAAAACTACTGGTGGGCTCTCAACGGCTTTGTGGGCACACTCTTTGCCACCATTTCAGCCCTTATTCTGCAACAGAACAGGTTTGAACAAACTAATGCTACAGATATTAATAAATTAAATCTGAATTAGATGTTACTGTATATAAAGAAAAGTGGTTGTGAATTAACACTCACTTGCAGTCCACGTACCTTCATTCACACTAAATCCCCATGACTCGCTATTAGTCACAACAACAGTAGACGTACTGACCTGAAACATGATGCAAAAAATTATAAACAAAACTGGATGATCATTTTCCTAGGTAGAGGAAGGTGAAATGACTATGTAGGACGATGTTACATAGTTTTGTATAGCAGAATATGTTGAATTAATCAATTCAAATAACTGTTCATTCAGGGGTGCAATAGCTGCAGGGCTGTACGGTTACAATGGCATCCTGGTGGGTCTGCTGATGGCGGTGTTCTCCAACGAAGGAGACTGGTACTGGTGGCTCCTGCTACCAAACATCTTCATGTCCATGATGTGGTGAGCAACAAGATTGACTAATAATAAAATGATGCAGTGTATTCATTTCATAAGAAATGAGAGGTAGATGTAAGAAAGTAGATAAAGTAACCAAAACAAGACGAGACAAATGTCAAAACGGATCCGTTTACAGTAGTATGACCATATACATGTCCTGAGTTGGTTATAAACCTAATACGGGTGATGTTATATCCTTCTGTTTTCAGCCCGATCGTGTCCAGTGCCCTGGCATCTATTAACAGTCGATGGGATCTGCCAGTGTTCACCCTGCCCTTCAACATCCTGGTGTGTCTCCACATGGTTGCCACTGGACACTACAACCACCACTTCCCCCAAGTCCTCATTCAGCCTCGCTCAGAGCTGCCCAACATTACCTGGGCTGAAATCGACGTAGCCCAGGTCAGTGACAGGCTAGGATTTGTTTATACACGCTACACACCTCTCTGTGGGCTGGTACACTGTAGATGCTATGTGCACTTCAACATCAGATGTTTTGTTCTGATAGCATTTCAACGTTATGTAATTTAGATGTGGCAGATTCATCAGCGCTTATATACCATGTTCCCTGCAAGGTATCTGAAATGTTCTGTCGGAGCTATGTGTAATTACAATCCTGCATTAGATAAGTGAGTGTGTGTGAGTTGTGTGGGTGCATCAAAGCTGACAGGAGAGTGACGGAAATCAATCAGTCTCTACACACCCCCACGAGAGGTTTAATGAGGCAACATGAGTGGAAACACCTGCAGTTGTAATTCACGCTGTGTTGTAGATCTACAGTTATGCAACCTCCATGTCTTTACCTCTCAAGCTGTTCATGTCGGTGCCTGTTGGAATAGGCCAGGTCTACGGCTGTGACAACCCGATAACCGGAGGAATCTTCATTATCTCACTGTTCATCTCCTCCCCTATCACCTGCGTTCATGCTGTCCTGGGATCTGCCGTGGGCATGGTTTCAGGTGAGTGGACAATATACCTCGACAGTCAAATGCAAAAGCCATTCTGTCCTTAAACTTAAAGAGCTTGCAACTACAAAAAAACTTATTTTTGCTTCCTTGCATGATTTCAGAATGAATTCAAGTCAATATGTTCCAACCACAAGATGAAATCCCCTCACAATCCGTGCAAAATTACCAGTAGGGTCATCATTTATTAAGATAATCCAACCTTAAATGTAACTTGGAATTTCTTTGATTGCTGTTATTTATCATATTTTGCAGGCTTGGCGCTGGCAGCACCTTTTGGAGACATTTACTTTGGCCTCTGGGGATACAACTGTGTGTTAGCCTGCATTGCCATCGGAGGCATGTTTTACGCTCTCACCTGGCAGGTGCATCTGCTTGCCATCACGTGTGGTTAGTACACATCCGGAAGTTAAAACACTATCTATAACAAGAAATCTAATTCATGAAGGATGATAACATGACACATGCAACATTGGCAGAGAGCGACCAGATATGGACATGAATGTCATCTCACAGTATCTCTCTTCTTCTCCTGAACAGCTTTTTTCTGTGCATACCTCGGCTCAGCCATTGCCAATATCTTGTCCACGGTAAGGTTGTTCTGACTCGTAATGTTAGATCAGTCCATAATAAACACAAGTTACTTACAGTAACGGGATTTGTTTTTCATCTACAGTTTGGTCTGCCAGCCTGCACTTGGCCTTTCTGTCTCTCTGCCCTCACTTTCCTCCTCTTAACCACGGGAATCAAGAACATCTTCAAGCTGCCGCTGGCCAAAGTCACGTACCCCGAGAAAAACCTGGGCTTCTTCTGGAAGCTGAAGAAGCAGGAGAAAGTGAAAAAGGCTGAGAAAGAGAGGATAGAACGCGAGGAGAAGAACACCATCAAAGAAGAGATGATACTGAACGAGAAATTGCAACTGAGGCTAGAGCTTGAAAGATTGGAAGAAAATAGAGCAGCAAGTGAGGCATCAGACGAGAAAAATGACGAGACATGTGTCGAAGGCTCTGCACCTGGGGTCGAACAGCAGGGTGCTGAAGATATCAGACACGATGATCTAACTGTGGTCACTGTTGCGGATCATGTTTAATACTGCATGTCTGCAGCGGGAGAGATAGACAGAGGATAGAGACGAACACTCCATCTTGCAAAAATTGTATTGGCATCCTCCCAAAACACCGCAGCACCAACCATATATATTCACGCTTTAATTAGCAAACAACTCGTTGCACTGATGTCAAGAAAGCTTTCGATTCTATTTAGCGTCAAGGACTCTTTTACAGACATCTACATCGTGGTAGAGGAGGCTAAATGTAGGATGTGGTTAAATCAATGTATTTGAAAAATAAGTGTGCTGTTAAAATTGGAGACAAAACAAACTGAATTCTTCAATCAGAGAAGATGTGTTCGTCAGGGTAATTTAAATCCAATTCATTTATTGTGTATATAAATGAACTTCCGCCCAGATACAGTCGTGAAGTGACTGTTTTAGGCTGATGACCTGCTTATTCTGTCGCCGACTGAACAAGGTCTACAACAACTGTTGGACATAGTAGAAAAGTTCTGGCAGATGTCAGGAGCACAAATATCAGTTTACCATAAATAACCATATCCTTGTATATATAGTATAGGTTATACCTGCCTTGGTTTAACCACAACAGCATCAGGGAGTTTCAACATGTGTTTGTTGAAATGTGATTATGAGACTGTATATTATCATATAATAATTGTAATGTTATGTTAATATTGATCTAAACATTATTGTGTACTATTGTATTTTGATGCTTTGGTAACATTGTTCTTTATTTAACTTTCATGTTTCATTTCAATAAAGCCACACTGAATTAAAATCTATTAAATACAGTAATGGAACTTTTATAATTCAAGGGCTGAATCATTTCTGGGGAAATATTGTTTGTTGGCCATAATCTAATATAATAATGTATAAATAAGGTTAGCATCTGACACATCAGTCTTGCATGCCTTCTAATAACATAATAATATCGCACCACCCAAAGTTTAAACAACAAATCAAGCTACCAAAATATCTGGCTTAATGATAGGTGTTCCTAAATGTAATTATGTAAATCAGAATCATAAACATTTATTGCCAAGTACATTACACATAAGGAATTTGACTAGGTGACAAATACAAATACCTGGCTACACCTGTCCTTTGATAATACAGCAAAAGAACATGCCACTGAGGACTGTTTGCGTCAACAGCAACATTTGGCAACAAGAGTCGGACTGTGGTATGTCCTCAGTTACAGGTAGGGTGGTGCAGCAGAAACCTTTACTTTGTTATCTGTATGACAATGTTTGAAAGTACAAAGTCTTGTATTCTATAAGATGTCGTTCACATTACAACTAATTACATCTGACAGATATCTTTTCTGTCTTCGGTAAATATCAGTCTACAGTAAACATATGGAAAAGCTAATCATTGTAGTGCAGGACTACCCGGAGCTTTACCTTCTATCCCACAGACTGTTCTACTTGCTTCATCCTTTCCGTCTAAGGATGTCACAACATCCAGTTGAAAAGTCATCCAAATTGACACAGACAAATCAAGCAGTAAAGCTACTGAATAATGTTAACAATGGGCTAGTAGTCATCCCCACATTTAATTATTACATGAGTCTCAGTCTCAATAATGGAAAAAGTCAAAGACAACAAAGCTTTATTTAAATCTCTTTCTGTGAATCAGACAAATGTTCTTTAGCCAAATAATGTTGAGCTTGGCAGTGGTTGTCACAGGGACTCTGGCACGTTTGCCTCCAGCTCGCTGCAGCACAAACATCCTGCACTGAAACTCCCTTGAACAGGGCCCTCAAACACTGGGGCACAGCGAATCCAGAGATATGGCCTCCAAAATCCAGTGCGACAGCTTCTGGCGGAACAATGGCTTGCCTTTGTGGGGAGTGGCCCAGAACACAAATGACTGTTTCACTTTCCTAGGACATGCTGATCTACCCACACACACATGCAGTGCCAGCACCTGGCATAATGTGTTAAGCCTTTGCTCCTCTGTTGAGGAGGAGCATGCCCTGGAGCGGATGGATAAAGTCTGTAAATCACTCATAAGCTTTAATGTGGTTAAAGCTTAGAGCAACACTGTTTTAAGTGAAATAAATTCCATGCCCACTGCCTCTAGGCTCAAATGGGTGATGAGAGAGTGCGTCCAACACAACCAACAGATCCCACAGAGGAACCAGGGTCCTGGAAACAAGCAGCTTGCAGCGTTCAACCGTCATGAAAAGTCACACTAAAAAGACGCTGCCCCACAGGCTTCTCCTCAAAGTCTAAATGACAGGACTGAGATAGCCGCTAAATCAACTTTAATTGTAGAAAGATGATCTACTAATTATTGCAAGAAACACAGCAGGTCAACCACCAAACACTGGAAAGGAATGGTGTGCCTCGTCTTGCACCACTCCTAAAAAAAGCCTCCCACTGTAAAGAGAGCAGGCAGGCCTGCTGCATTCAGGTTCCACCTCTCACAGGCCAAGCCCAGAGCGCTATATATACGGTCTAGGTGAGGTTGGTAGATCTCCCTGCACGACGGGGAAAGGAGGTCCCTTCGTATAGGTAGAGGCCACGGCTCAGGCTGAGAGGGGAGCATGCATAGAGCAGCACGTTTGGCCAGCAGTGCATCCACCCCCAGGGGTGCATTTACGTCCGACAGGGTGACAAGCAGCAGACAGTGAGGCGAGGCAAAGGGATCTACAGCTGCTTGGCCGTATTTCTGCCAAACTTGCTCCACCACCTGTGGATGGAGAGTCCACTCTCCGTACAGAGGGTTTCCTCGGGACAAAAGATCTTCCGAGGTAACATGTGCAACTGGAGTGAGCAAGTGCCACCTTGGCGGTTGATGTGCACGCTACCACAGTGGTGTGTCCGTTTTCACCAAGACGTGAAGACCTTGGGGACATTTCTGAAAATGCTGTAGAGCAAAAACACTGCCCATCCCATGATATGTGATGATACGTTGTGATAGAGTCTTTGGCGCTTGAACTCTACAGGGAGATTTGTAATCGAGGGATGTGTGCGATGTGAACGATCGTTGCCATTGTACATTGTTTTGAGTTTGCCGTTGACATTAGTAAGGCTACTGAAGACCAGCTGATCATTTATTAAATTGTTATTTATTTTTGCAGAATCAAACATTTTCTTAAAATATGTCCATCCTCAACCCAGTGTGATTCATGGGTGCAGCACTAAGCTTACTGGCTCCTAGCTAGCCACATATTTTAACAGATATGAGAGTATATCTAAACTCTTATGTTCATAACTCTCAGCAAGAAAGCAAATGTCTATTTCCCAAAATGTCAAACTACTTTTTACCTTGTCTTTCACATGCAGGCAATACATCTGCTACATTTGGGTTCCAATAACTTTGTATAACTTTATATATTAATTGTATATCCTTTTTGAATAAATCATTTTCTAATAATCGGTCAAGTCAAGGTTGGTTTATTCAGTGTTGTCTGGAAGTACTTTACTAGTTGAAAATGGTAAATGGACTTACATTTGTCTTCCGGCCATTACATGTCTATATTCACCCATTCACTGAGAGACATTCACAGCAGACCTACCATGCAAGGTGCCACCTGCCCATCAAGATCTACACTAATTCACACTCACCCACACAGTAATTTGGGGTTCAGTGTCTTGCCCAAGGACACTTCCACATGCGGACTGGAGGAGTAAAGGATCAAACCGCCAATCTTCTGAGCCTCTGAGCCACAGTCACCACAATATATGGAAATATCTGAATATGAAATAACTACAAATTAATAAATAATAGTAAATCATCTGTGACAAAAAACTGTATATCATCTGTTGGTATGATAAGCTTTTCTTGTTTGAGAAATAAGTAATATATCATTTAGATACATTGCACAGTCAGGACAAGGGAAATACAAGGACTGTACTGTATGTTGCAATCAAAACAGCCACATTTAGAGGTACAGTAGTAAACAGCATGTTTGACAAGTACATTGTTCAACCTTCTAGTTTGAGCTGTCTTGAGACCTTGTCTTGTTTTGGTAAAACAATCAAACAATGGTTATAGATCTCTCGTAAACATCTCTTCGGCTCAGCAAAATCGGATCAGTAAATCTGCCCTTAAAAATCCTACCCCTATGCTCTACTGATCTGCAGGAGATCTGTGCACAATGTCCCTGCAGCATTACAGAGATTAATGGAGCGAGTGATTGCTGGTTTGGATGGTTGTGTAGTTTACTTGAATGAGGTTATCTACACTGTTCCGAGGGCCCATCATGTTCAGCAGATTCAAGCTTTAATTGAAAGATGGCATGGGTACCACTGGCTGTTTATCAAAATCAGTCAATCAGTCACATTGTGAGATTGCTACAGCCATACTACACCTAGGTTTGGTGGTTGGGCACGGCAAAGGGATAAAGAAAAAGTTATATCATTGACTTATCCGTCACCACTTAAAAATTTGGCAGATTTCTTTCCCAGATAATTTTGACCCTTTTACAATAAGAAATCCGTTTTCAGTTGTGGTTCCTTTTGCCCCTTGTAGGATATTATAACAATATCAAAGAAATATGAAAATGCATTTTAAAAAGTTAAGACACCTTCTACTTGCCTTAGCACCGGCTGCTCTGTGGCTGAAAGAAATGTTGTTGTTGCGAGTGGATGTTTTCAGAGCAAAAACACGTGCTGTGCTGCTACAAAGTGATGATCTGAAGGGTTCTCCAGCTGGTTGTGAATGGGGTCAGATATGCCTCTGCCTTTTGTTTATACTTCTGTCATGTACTTTTTATTTTAATTTAATCCAATGGGTGCCAGGTTCCTGGGGCAAGATTAACTGACAGAAGGCCTGGATGGAGATAACAGCTTGTCCTCAGACAGTCACGAACCCTCAGAGCTTTATCATGATGTATCACATTTCAACAAATACTTTGAATTGCTTCGTGCAGCTTCACATGTCCAGTATGACCTGAAGTGACTGCTGTTTAAACGGCTGTTCTGATACTGAATACTTTCACAGTATTTTTGGACCTCTGCTAGTTCAATTAATATTTGTCAGTATAATGACAGGGTGCGTCTTGAACATTTAAATCTAATGTAATGATAGTGCTAGATAGACACATATTGACTAATCCCTGAAAATGACCAGCCGTACTCATTGTCTTCCCTAACGCTAAACATATTGTCAGAATCATAGCTACCTCAAAAGTCCTGGAGCAACACAAACATACTGAGATATATAAAATGGGATCAACCTCATAAGGACCTATTACCGATAGAATCTGCTTAGCTTCTCTTTAGAAACACTACAATTTATGCTGAACTGCAACTGCATCATTCATACTAGTCTAGCACCCACAGCAGATGTTCTGTATGTGGACCAGAGAGAGGAAAGTTAGAGGGTCCTCTAGTGGAGCAGCACAGCAGCACAGCAGTGTCTCGACAGAGGAGTGGTAACGTAATATCCTAACATCTCAGAAGCTTGCAGGTTATCACAAAATCTGTGACTCAACCAGCTGTCTGTCTGTGGAAAGGCTGATTTGTAAAAGTGGTAAGACTAAAATTGGACAGTCAGAAAGATTAAAACGTGAGAGTACAAATGTAGTATCATCTCATGATGAGATAGCATACCCGTAAAGTATAATGGTCTGAAAAGCAACTTTGAAATGGCACAAAACGGCAAATTCAATTCGTTACCAATAAATAAAAACGTAATCCCATCAAAAAGATCCAGTGTACTTTAAGCAACACAACATCATTACCGTTCTTGACGACGACATCCCAGATTGTATTTTAGACAGAATGTATAACAGTGGTTTCAATCACAAGGGTCAATGCACCGTCTCCAACATCTCAACAAACATCACAAGCTGACTCTTCGTAGTCATAGTCTTCAGGGAACACACATTTACAGGCTCGGTGTCACTAAACTTAGAAACTGGAGAAGCCACATTTCCATTCACATTGCTGGTTAACAGTAGCATTTGACAGCAAAGGTGAAAATAAATAGAGACAGAGACTGAAGAGTTGAGTGATGGAGCATTGTGTTGTTGTGTTCCCTAACCCCAGTCACACTGCTCACCTAGTACTCACGTTTCCTCATTCCCTACCATTCTTTGCGTATCAGTGATCAGGCGTCATGTAATGTTTAATCTCACTGACACAAATCAATGCATCCACAGATCAATCTGATGCCCACAGAGCTGAAGCTGCACATGCAGGTGACTATGACCATGACCAGCTCCACTGATACTGCTCCACTTGGCAGGACGGCATAGTTAAAATGGTTGTTGCTCTTCTAGTAAAGGTTGTGACTGAATGGGGTCAACAGTGATTGATTCATTGTTTGATGGAGTAGGTTTGTGACTCATGACGCATGTTCTAGTCAAATCAGTTTGTTTGTAAATGTGCGAGCCTTTTGTCTTACTTAGATTGAGGTCATGTTGTTGCCTGATACAGGATCCTATCTGCTTTAAATATTTCTGCTCTTTAATCTCCTGTCCTAGAAGTATGAATTTATACTCCTCTTTAACGAAACCCCTTACATAACCGCTGGCTACATTCTACAATGAGTTTGCAGATCACCCATGTGTGAGATTGATCTGTTTTGTATTTGTGCTTCGCGATGGCTGCATTCTCTAACAAAGAAGACATAAATCTGCGTCCACACGTCAGCAGTGCAAAGATGTAAAAACGCTGAGCACAAGATAGAGGTGTAAAGTAACTTAGTGCATTCACGCAAGTACTGCACTCAACGTCAGTTTCAAAGTACCGGCACAATTCTAAAGTTTTGTATTCTAAAGTAAGAGGGCTTCTTTTTGGTGAGACTCAATACTTTGACTCCACTACAAGTCAGATGGGACATTTTATGTTTAACGTGTCTAAAGTTTTGGTGTTATTAATGTGTTTATACATGGAAACAATAATACTGAATTGAAATAAATGTGAAAAAAAAATTATACTTTCAGTATGATCCGCACTTGCTGCAGTTTCTTTGGATTTTATGTGCAATAAAATTGATTAGCTGAAAAACATGATGCCTGGCTATCAGTTTATTGAGTATTTTTATGGCCTTTTAAAATACAGTTTTAAGAGGAGTTACACCAACATTATGACACCTCACAAGGCTTGCAAACATGAGAGTTGATTTTTAACAATCTCAATGTTACGTCCTACAAAGAACTGAGAGCTCAACCCCTCAATACAGACCATGTACTGAATCTTTAGTGGTTACATACAAAATTCTGAAGAAACTTAAGAATGTATATTTATGTATATATGTACATAATGTGTGATAGATCTATATATACAGTATATAATTTGTGTGTTTGTGTGTGTGTGTTTTCTATGGAACAACGCTGTCCTGACCTGAAGCTCTGTGTCGCTGCGTGTGCTTCTGAAAAGCTTTATTGGAGGTTTGTTAAGTGAATATTTGGATGTAAGCCACGAAATGATTTGATTTATGCCCGATGGGAAGTGACATCGGTTAGTATCAATTTTTTGCCGAACGTTTCAAACATGAGCAGAAATCTTGCTAAAACACACACGCATCTATTAGTGTCCAGGGGTTAATACATTAAGTAAAATGAAATACCGTAGCTATCAGTGAATCGGTGCCACATTCACATTTAAAGAGGTTATTTATCCAAACTAAATAAACCAAAGAGGACGGAGGTGTAAATCAGGCCTACATACTGTATGTGTTGGCTCAGCAGGGATAACATAAATATTTGAAAGCAAAACAGAATGCCTGATAACCTTCCTGCTTTGTATTTCATTATATTTTTCAATGTTGTCACCTGTCGTCTGAAGTTCGTTTCCTTTACATGAATAAAGACATTTCCACTATAAACTGGTGCATAAAAAGTCAACAGAATGCAGGAAATGAAGTCTTTGATGCTCAGAATGTCCATAACGAGATCGAACACTCACAAATATAATTTATATGTTTTTCTCCCTGGCAAACTAATGAGAGTGATATTAAAACTGTCCAATCAAATCTATTATATGGGATTAAATTACATGCTTATTCAATGACATAAGACAGGACAGGCCAGTGGCGAAACCCATGAAACAAAGAAACAGGAAACTGAAGCTGTGTTCCAAATTGCAAACTTTTTCTTTTTACTTTTAGTACACACTGCAGCAGCCCTTACAAAGTCTGTACTGTCCCAATGCACTTAATTAGAACTTAACATTGCACCTTGAACTTTGCCCCTCTTGCTTCCATACCTGCTGCAAAGGGGATTGTGGGTCAGAATAGGCAGAAAATCATGCTGACTTGCATACTGCAAAATGCAAATGGATGTAGTTGGGCATCCTGGTATTTTTGGTATACTGCATTTGACACACACTGTATTGGGACATACTAAATATTTTTCTGGTTTACTAAAAAGTATGATAGTGTGGGTATTGGAAGGCACAGTGACTGTCAGTGGGCCGTCTCCTTTCGGAACTGTCTCTGGCCCAGAAAGATGGGGAGTCAAGAGTCGCACTCAGCTGTGTTATTATTAGCACCCCCGAACAGCCGGGGACCGGTTTAGTGACTGAGGAGTCAGCAGGCAGTCAATGGCAGTTTAACACAGTCAATAAAAGCTGCTTTGAGAAAGTGTGACTCACCTCAACCAAGAGGTGAGCATGCAGCCATGACTGGCCACCCAAAAATATTTTGCAGGTTGCTGCAGCAGAATGCAAGATAAGCCGTGGACAGACACAGAGGTGCACACTCACTCACCACCTAAAATCCGTTTAGACGATCATTCCACAACATACACAGTTGAGCAGAATTTACATCCACGTTTTAAACAGAAGCCTACAATGGAAAATATGAATGAGAGCAACTCGGCATGTTTCCAGAAGACCTAGAGAGACCTCTGGTGGTACAAGCGAGAAGCGTCGTGTGAAAGGCTTTTCACTGTAAATCACATCCAACATCTCCACTGTGTTTACACAGTTGGGATTTAGAGGTCTTGCAGCCTGATATTCACAATTGATTTATCAAAAGCAAGACTGTAAAATACATTTTTGTCCCCGAATGTGACGAAGCTTCATGAAATGGATTAGGAGGAACAGCTTTCAAGTCCTTCCTCAGATTTACATTTGAAATCTTAAAAGTTGCATCATCTTTAGTATTGTGTCGCCTTTGTATTTGAACAAAAAAAGTAAAATCCAACATCTTCAGAAAACAACTTTTATTTATATCTTATTCACATAAGGAGCAACACAGTTTCAAAAGCATCTGCAGCATTTTATCCCAGTGCAAAAACAAAGACGATCCGATTGGGTTCACTGCACATGTGGTACTCTAGTACAATCCTGTCATCAGACCGGCCACATCCCTGATTCACCAACTTCCACTGAGCGTGGTACCTGATTGACATCAGCAACTCTTGTCTCTTAAAGCTTATTGCAACCGACTTCACATGAAACAGTTGTCTTCTTAACAAAAACATGAGGGAACATTAAAGTGCCAGAGCCTCAATGAAGCTGATTAATTCATCTGATTGCTGGCAGCTGGAAAAAAAAATTAAAGTAAAATTAGTGACGACGTAAAAGATTTGAGTTGTGTATTTGAAGGCCTATTCACACGGATGGATGGAACAAGTCAAATACTGTTGATAGTCTCTAGACAGAGCAAAACTGCCATGAGATCCTTCAAAGTAAAGTGTCACACTAATCCTTTCTCCTGTTTGGAATGCACAATCCTCTGTAGAGATCCTTCATGCTGCACACACCCACACCTGGGCAGAGTGTAGACAGCCATGCTTTTGAAACACATGATGTCTCTCGGTGTGTGTTTTTCCACCTGCCATCTCACTAATAGGGCCTAAACACGGCTGGTCCCCCTCCTCCCAGCAGCCACTTCCACCAACCAGTAGGAGTCGCTAGTGCAGCAACAGGCACGTGGCCGTTTTCATTTCAGATGAGATAATGCTACCCGGAGTTAAACCAATGTGCGTTTCCTTTTTGAGCCACGTTTGAGAAAAGTTTTTACATAAATGGAACAAAAAGGTTCCAGAAGAAGATAATGTGACAACAAAAAAAAACAGACGCATATCTCATGAAGGTGTTAAGGATGTTCAAAGAAAATGATCAAATCTAAATCTACGTTATTTACTCCAGTATATGGAATATTATGACAGTGATTGAGTGAATAAGTAAGCAGTACCACTTTAAAAAAAGCTCAGGATGAGTGTACCACTGTATTTAAATAAAATCTTAAAAACAAAAGCTGGGGAAACACGTTCAGACACCTTCTAAAAACAATAGCTAGGCTACTCCTCGTTCTCAGGAGCAACATGGCAGACTAACTTTAAACCTTCTGTATATTTAGCTTACTGGACAGATGAGTCCTGCCCAGTATAAATGTTCTTCTATACACTTTGTATCTTCATTATGCACCTTAGCCCTTAAAACACTAACATTCATCAGCAAATGACCTCCCCGGGGGAAGTCAATCAAAATATACGGAGACACTATTTGACCAAGACTCCTAAACAATTCTATGGATACATTTCCTCTTTACACACACACAACACAAAGCAAATCCTAAAATGTTAAAAGTCAAGATGTTCAAAACATTACATCCAAAATCGAAGGAGAAAACACTATAGGGTTGAGCATATTTACATTATAATTACAAGTTTACGAGCACACGGTGTTAAAGGAGTCTGTACAGGGACTGCACTGCAGGCAAAAAGCTATCGAAATAAAAACGTGTTGATCAGAGCTAAACTGGGCTTATGACGCGTAGAGGAAGAAAGAAATTAACGTTTGGCTCCAGCGAGCACTGCCTGCTCTCACCTAAGACACATTGGTTGTTGCTTTAAACCTGCACTGGTGTGCAGTACGCCATCTACTGTACACAGTGGGAAGGTTTCTCACTACATCCAATTGATGCAAATACAAGTTTGGTATTTTAAGCTATCAACCAACCAACCAACCAAGCAATCTTTTAGCCAAATCATGACTAATATAGTAAATGCTTCCAGTTGCACGTGTAACTAGAGGTCAGAATGGCAGGCAGCTATTTTATAACATGGCGATGCAAGGTCAGTGTAATTCCTCTCTAACGTACCTGTACTTTCAACTTCTCGTCGTTGAGAAATCCCCGACAGCTGCATCCACATATATCAGACAATTTGAGATAAAGTCTAGGACTGACTGACAGTACACTCACACAGTAATGTTGACATTCTTCATACTTCCTCTTTTTTGAAGTGGCCATTGCACAGCTCATACAGTTAGGTGCCTGAGAGCAGGCGGAGGAAAAGGAGTGTGGGTGAAGCACGATGGTCTGCTCAGGCATGAGGTTTAGATGAGAGCTGCAGAGGAGAGGTTTGGTTGACAGCATCAATTGTGAGGAGTGTGTGTTCGCATCTGACAACTTCCTGTCAGACACACAATCAGAGCCACCCTGAGCTAGCAAATACAACGCACAGGACTAACCTCAAGAGAACACCTTGTCCACCCAGGTAGAGCCAAACCTCTGGCTTTGATTCGCACTCTGGCCTGGATAAAGGATAAAGAGACACCGTCCTACAATAGTGCAAACACCGTTGTTGTCTTGACGTCGTGCCCCTTTGTCCCGTCAGCGGGGCAGAGGCCGGATGGAGCGACTGTATTAGAGCCATTTTTGGAGCGTGGGCAGGTTCTTGTCCATCCAGCGCTGGTTCAGCCTGATGGTTTCCAGAGCTTCCTGCACGCTCCTCATCTGAGAGCCGCGCTCCTTCAAACTGGAGAAGAAACTCTGAACCTGCACAACACACACACACACACACACACACACACACACACACACAGATGTTATGTTATCACTTGGCAAAACACAGTGAACAGTTAATATCTCCCCACAAACAATTGCACAGACCCTCAAATACGCTGCGTCAGAAAAGAAACAAAACATACTTGATCAAGGTGGGCCTGTGTGGAGAACTGAGAGGTGGCAGAGTTGATGATTGTCTGGATGGCAAAGGAGCCCATCGGGAACCTTTAGCCAAAAACACAAAAACGCTGACATTTATCGTTTCCTTTTTTATGTAAAATAATCTTAAAATATGTTCTCAGTGACGACTTGTATGGAGCTGACAGGGACCACTTACTTCTCTATGAGGCTGTCCCAGTTCTCTTGGATGAAGTCCCAGACAAACAAGTAGCCGGTGAAGCCTTTACACACGGTGCTGATGACCAAAGGCAACTCCTGCGTCTGGATGATCTCCCCCATCAGACCTGCCTTTAGAATCCTAGACAGACCGCAATAAGTGTTCAGAGCTTAAATAACACTACACTACACTCACCTCCATACAGCAGGAAAACAAACTGCTTGTCAAGCCCTTTAAATCACTACTGAAGACAAAACACATAAAATTAAAAACTGTTTTATCACATCTGAAATATTGGTGTTTAAGTGACTGTAACTCAACGTTTATCACAGTACCCAAGATTCAAAATATTGCTGCTCTGTTACACATTGGTTTTAAAGTAATGTTCCAATAATAAAAACATTAGAAAAGGCACTTTGAACAAGTGTATTGGATTGTTCCCTCATTCAGTGGGGAAGGAAAGACGCTGCTGCTTGATGACCAGAGGCCAACACACACAAACACTTACCACACTATAAGCCGTGCGTTCTGAGTAGACGCGAGGCCCCGCAGCATCTTTCTCTTCTCTGCATCATAGGTGACACGTCCGTACATGCTGAGCAAAGTCTCCCAACCTTCATCCGATTGAGCAGCCACAGTGAATACAACTTGCTGCAGATCCCCTGGGATCCTACAGGAAATATAAAGATGCAAACCTATTTTTAGGTTAAAAGTGGACCAAAATTCAGCTCACGGTCTACAACTCAACGTCAGATACTAATTCCATCCAGAGACATTCCCCCATGGATTCTATCTCTGTAAAGAGGTTTGCGCTGCACCTCTCACCCTGCTGCAGCTGTCAATGTGACCCAGAAAAGCAACTGAAAAGTATATAGTGTGCTATACGTACCGTGAGGTCCCATTGGACTCGACATACTCTTTGAACAGGGCTTGGGCTCGCTGAGTGCAGTTCTCTTCATTCAGACTACAGGCCATCCCAAGCAGCTCTGAGCGCAGCTCCTGTTGAGACACACTCTCCTCCTCTTCCCATGTTTGCTTGTCCATCAGAGAACCAAACTGATGCAGAATATAATCCTGTCGTATGTAACAAAAACAATAAGGGATCTTATTAGTGCACAGAAACATAAGAATGTATGATTTATTTTCACAGACATGGGATGTTCGCTTGTATCCTAGATGTCCTGATACAACAATAATGTGCCATCAAAACTTACATCTTAAATAAAGCCAATCAAGATATACAAATGTGTGTTTTAATGTTTCTCATTATTGAGACAATTACTCTCACTACAATACTTCATAGTCCACACATTGATTTTGAAAAACAGATTTTTTTCAGGATTTTCAAAACTTAAGATATTATGCAGGTGTTTGACAGAAATGTGGCTCATTATATCTTTATTCTCAAAATGTATTGTGACCTACATTTCTTAACTGTGCGTGTGCGTGTGCGTGTGCATGTGTGTACCTTCATGCGGGACACAAGATGGTGCTCTTGTCTTTTGTCAAGCAGCTGGTAGATGATGTTGAGCTGTAGCAAGGCCTCTGTCACAGGAGAAGTATGAGTTTCATTGGTCATGTACTTCAACAGGTTGAGGACTTGGTGAAAGGACACGCGTCCCAGTCTGTTAAAAACACAGGACAGCGGGGGAGAGGAAAGAAAGGTGGAGAATGAAACACTCCTCTACTTCCGTTTCTCTTGTAACTAAATGCAATTTGAAGAACAACTATTTATGTTGTCCGCTTTACCTGGAAAGAGCAAAGATGTTGTGTATGAGCGAGGCCCGGTCCTCGTGTGTAAGAACACCGACATTGTTGGACAGAGCTGTTATCAGAGCAGCCCAGCCCTCTTCTCCGTAGTGGACGATGTAGAAGCCTGTGTTTCTGTAGTTCAACTTCAGCCACTTTACACTTTCTGGTAGCTCCTTCAGAGTCCCTGAAAACACACACAAAAATGTAGCATTTGTCACAAAATAAAAATCTTGACTCTTAACTTGATGTTGCAGGTAATGCTTTGTGTTTTACCTGACTTGTTCTTCAGAGTGAACATCTGTCTGCACTCAGGGGCCAAACTACAGTTGTCAGTTACATACGTCACCGGAATATTCCACAAGCTAAAGAGAACAAAATACAGTCAGGGTTGTATTGTGTTTCTATGATCTGTGTGTGTGTGTGTGGGGGGGGAGAGTTGAACCCACCTGGAAGTCTGCGTGGCATTGTCGGATGTGAGCAGGAAGGGCTCCTGTGTGAGGGTCACCTGACCTCCCTTACGGCTTACAGTGACCAATGGGAAGCCTTTCTGTGATGTCCACGTGCTCATCATCTCTGACACATTCGGGTGCTGCGCCGAGACCTCAACCTGAGGAGAGGAAGAGAAATCCAGAGTCAGTGCAGTCCAGTGTGCATGTTCATTGTTTTTTGTTATGTAAATTAAATGAAGACAACCGTGACTGGCAGTGGTCTGAAACTTTGCAGCTATTTTCAGAAGATTACAATTTCTACAAACCAAACCCAAAGGGGATGTTAACTGAGGCGCGTGCTTTCAAACCTTTTAGACAGTAAATCTACTGTCTGTATCCACAGCATGCTGTGCTCTGACATCCCCTCAAAGCAATGTGAGCTCTTATAGGATCAATAAATGATGACATGATCAACTATCATCAGAAGCCATTTACTGCTTTTTATGTTGATAATGCAGCTCAACCATTATGGGATGACAGTGAAACTAGCCAAACGCAGCTGATGTCAGATCACATGGCTGGCTGACAGATCACTGAGGGAAGTTAAACGTTAGATGTAGCCAAAGTGAGACACACACACACACACACACACACACACACACACACACACCTGTGTAAGGCTGTTCCAGAGGTCGTTGGTGTCCGTGTTTGATCCACTGAACTGTTTCAGATATTGAATGATACCTTTTCTGAACTGTTGGTCCCCTGGCAGGGAGGCATTCAGCATCAGGAGAATGGAGGCACCCTGGAAGACACAGGCACAAAGCATCAGCGATCACACCCTAAACAGAGCACTGACTAAAGCTCTGAATGAGTGGGAGGCCCAGTTCTCTCTGAGTTAAAGAGCTGGATATGGAAGTTCAGTGAATTAATGAAAATTGCATCTATCTATCCGAGTATATATAAATTACAAAAGTGTACCTTCTCATAGGAGACGGAGTCAAACATCTCTTCCACCTGTTCTGGCGTATTAACCTCCGCCGACACAGCGTGGGAGGAGTTAAGTGCATCACTGTCCAACGCTCTGAAGCCTACTGCCAGGAACGAATTACCCTGCAAATAAACACAGGGTTTACTGCGAAGGCACACAATGAAGCACACAGCTGTATCTGCTTCAAAGTATATGAGGCAGATGTGTAAACGTACAATGTCCAGCTTGGGAAAAACAGCCTGCAGCGACATGTACTGCATGTATGTGGCAAAGCCTTCGTTGAGCCACAGGTCGTTCCACCACCTCATCGTCACCAGGTTTCCAAACCACTGCAACACATCATCGGAGATAGATTAGGACCTGACCGTAGCATATTCACCGTGTCAGCTACGTTCACCAACAAACAGGCAAACACAACTACCTGATGAGCGAGCTCATGCGCGATGACAGAGGCAACTACTTGTTTTTCCAGAGGAGAGGACTGTTTGCCCACCAGCAGGCTGGTCTCTCTGAAAGTGATGAGTCCCCAGTTCTCCATCGCTCCTGCCAGGAAGTCTGGGATGGCTACCAAGTCTGACAAAAGTGAAAGGAAGAATATTGGGATGTGTAAAGGCGGGGGGGGGGGGGGGGGGGG